GGCCTGGCCTCCCAGCAGGGTCTCCGGCCACCATGGGACGCGGTGCCGGCAGCCTCAGGCGGCCACCACCCGCGGCGGGGCCGCACCGGACGTGTCCTCTGCGTCTGCCCGGGCTGCAGCTGCAGCAGTGAACACCCCACAAGGACTCCGCGTGGCTTCATCCCGAAGCGCAGGTCCCAGTGAGGCGCCCTGCAGGACGGCGCTCGGAGGAGGGGCGTGGCCAGCCCCGTGTCAAAGGCACCCGTGTCCGCCGGGAGCACGCACTGCACTGGCCTGCCATGGTAGTGGCCTTCCGGGACGGCCACGCGGCAGGCCCTCGGGAGAGACGGTGTGGCCCCCGGAACCATGAGGGGCTGAGCCTCGACCGCTGTCTTTACTGCTGCTGGCGGGTGGAGCACCCCACAGCAGTGAGCGTGTCTGTAGAGCAGACGTTAACCAGAGTCTACGTGTAAATTGGCAACCTCAAAAAAACCCGCGCACATCTGGGGACACTCGCCACACTGTAATCTCAGTCCCCTCCGCGCGTCACCGCCAGGGGGCCGTCCCCCGTCACTGCGTCCACGGAATTTGCTGCAGATGCTCTTACTCCCTGAGGTACGAGCTTGTTTGACAAGTGTCTTTGGAGCAGAAAACGTATCTTCCAGTCGCCACGCCTTTCACTTCTCCTAAAAGCCTTCTCCTGGCTCCTGGGCTGTCCCCGCCTTCGACGGAGGAACCCGGGGAGGAAGAGCTGGGGATGGCGTCACCGCCGTGTTTTACTGCAATGTCCATATCGTGACAGAGCCTCTTACACGTGGCTGCAGAGGTGAAGCCCCAGGGCACAGGCAACAACGACGCCAGCCCCACCCCTGAAACCACCGAGAACGCGGAGCTGGCCCGGCTCCATCCCCCAGCTGCACCGACAAAGCGAGAGAACTCGGGGACACCGCAGCCCCGATGCGCTCAGAGGTCGTTCGGCCGCTGGGCTTCGCTGCCCCGTCCGCCGGGGCAAACTGGGTCCAGCCACGCCTCCTGACCGCCGTCCCTGCTTCCCCCTCAGGAGAGAATCGGGCTTCTCGGCGTCAGTGTGGTG